TAAAACCAAACCATGAGTCAATTCTGACTCATAGAAATATCCCAACAGTGTGTGTGTGTGTGTGTGTGTGTGTGTGTGTGCGTGTGCAGTCATATGCTTACCTAAAAGTATACATTTCTCACTTTCTCATGCAGCACTTAGGTACAGACATGGAACCAAATTTTAGAGAATGGTATGTATAAATGAAAATTATGGTATATATGGAAAAACTCCTTAAGTGAGAAGACAGTCTTTCTTCCTCCTCTTCATTTTGCTTCCTCAACTGACGATGTGATCACACTAATAGTCATCTTGGCTCATGAGACTCATGGCTAATATACGAAGTCCCCAACAATTTTGTAGAGTCATTATACCAGCTTTATACTTTCTATTTCCTGACTATTTTACATGAACAAGAAATAAATACTCCTCTTGTTTAAACCACTCAAAGTTTAGATTTTTGTGTTATATGCAGTTGAACCTGATTCTCACTAACACTGGTTAACAGATCTGTAAGCGGGCAGGGCACATAAACTGTTCATCTTTTTACCGCACTTTACTTTGCATCCAGCAGACAAAAAGGCCCACTGAGCATGAGCTTGATGAACACTGAAGTCAGCCTTCCTCATTGCTCAGCACAAGACTGACAGTTCATTGCTATGGCAACATGCACAACAAAAAGTCCAAAATATTTTCATTGTAATTTCTCCAAAACAGATAAAATTTATTAAGTAAACCTTTTTATGATATTTATCAAGGAAGTAATTTAAATGCAAAAAATTCCTAGGGGGGAAAAATAGCAGACCGATAGGACGTGAAGAAAGTCACAGTGTTTTGCAAAGATTGGTAGGAGAAATGTGTAAGAGATTTCTCTACGTGGAAAGGCAACAGGTTCTTTCCGTCAGCTTAATCCATCAGATTAATCAGCTATTTCCTTCTTTAGAGATAGCAACTACAGATTTTTAATGATGTTTTAAGGGTAAAAACTACTTACCTGCTGTACACAGAATGACCTAGCGATGTTTATAAGATTGACCACATTATTTCTGACATCCCCATATTACTGCAGGTCGCCCATTATACGCTATACTAAACTTACTTACCATTAAAAGGAAAAAGTTTATAGTTAATATCTAGAAATAATTTAATGTTAGGCAGACATCTTAAAATTTTATAATTTGGATGACCATTTCTCTTTGTCAAAAATAGCCACAACTTGAACAATAAATCTATCTAGGACTTTCTTAACCTTAAAAAATATTGACCTTCTAATTCCAGATAATAAGCTATTTTCATACTATAAGATGCTAGCTTCCAAACACAAAGAACAAAACACAACAAAATTAATTTACTAGCTGTGTGATTTTGGGACAGTTACTTAACCTCTTGGCACCCTATTTTCTTATCTTTAAAATGAAAGTAGAATTAACTTCCATTTCATAGAGCTGTTATCAGTTAAATGAATATGTACAGCATTTTAAGGAGTATTACACAAGCATAAGTGTCTGCTCTTATTATTACTATTTTTTATTAATTAAAGGCTCATTTACCATTCCAATGGCAAAAACAAAAACCTTTACTTTAGTAAGTTAAATGATTACGTACATCACATCATATAGAGAGAATTACGGACTATTCATTTTATATTACAAATTGTTACACAAGCCAAGGGCTCAATAGAAAGTAAATGTTTAGAAACTAATTATGGTAGCATATGTACATATATGCTTGATACAACTGATGTATGGCTTGTTATAAGAGCTGTAAGAGCACCCAACAAAATGATATTTTACTTTTAAAAATTGTTATATAAGCTAAATGGAAGAAGCTTATTTTTCTGGAGTCATCTAACAGAAGATTGGGCTCAAATTCTCTTGATTTTAAAATTCATAGTGCTTTAACTTGACCTACACAGGACTTTGTAGCAGATGTGAAATTGAAGTCCCACTTTTCATTATTCATGTCTTATTCCAATTTTTTGCCCATGTTTGTCTTTTCATCATGAGAAATATTTATTTGTAGATTATGTTTAGAATTAACCAAACATATGTAAAAGCATCTTTTGAATATGATTTATTAACAAATAAATTCAAAAATTCAAGATTTTAAATCCACTGTAAACTAAAATTTTTCAAAAAAGACAAAAAGGAAGTACCTGAGATTCAAGTGGAATGAAGGAAATATTTATTTCTTTACATCTTCTGATTGACTTAGAACAAGAAGCTTTAATTTTGTTGAAGAGACTATCAGGGCAAACTGAGAGGGAGAAAAAAATTGTATTTAATTAATAAAAGTTGTATCCTTTTAAATAAATCATTCCAATATGCAAGGCAATACAAACACACAATTTTTACACAAATAATGCATGATATATATATTATTTTTTTGCCTCTCTCACCCTCTCTCAAAGGCGTTTTCATAAACCGCCCCCCAAAATTAGTAGTGTGTGCTCACAATAATAGAGAGGGCATGCATTTGTGGCATATATTTACTGACTTTAACAGAGTAATTTTTATCTGTCAGAGGTAAATACATTTCTTTACTTACAGAACACATGTATTCCAGCCATTAGGGCTATAATAAAAATCCCATTTCCCCCATTTGTATCCATGAAACCCACAGAGATATTTCCTTCGGATCCAACAGCACAGTATGCTATAGAGAAAATGATGCCCAAACTCACAGTTTATTAAACTGCTGTAGCATCTGCTGATACGTTTGCCCTACTGTTCCAAAGCTGCCGTTAAGTGATCTTTGATGCAGCCAAACTATACCAGTGCTAATTATTCCTTGAGTTACAAGACCTCTTCTCTAATGTCAGGAAATTCTAAGACTCTAAACTTGTTAGTTCTGGAAGTTAGCTTTTTTTCTTCCTTAATTGGTTACATTAATTCAAGGTTGGAATAACAACCATAAGCCACTGGTGTTTTTAACATGATGTACTTTAGACTCATGATTCCTAAAGTTAAAAAAGTCTTTATATTCATTAAATGCTACCAAGTCCATGAATGTGTGAAGTTCTATATAATATGACCACTTAAACGACAAATAGGGTCTTTCTAAAAATGCAAATTACTACTAGGCATGAAATAAACAATAATACCCAAGAAGAATGTACTACTTAATGTCAAGATAGCAACAGCAGCAAAGACTAAGATTTAATTTAGATAAATGGTATTTTTATTTCAAAGCACAATTACTTAATACATGACACTATATAATAAAAACTATGTGTCTCTAGACGTCACTGTGATTCTTCTTTTTTTTTTTTTAGCATTTTATTGGGGGCTCGTACAGCTCTTATCACAATCCATACATCCATCCATTACTTTAGCTGCTGTCTGTAAGAATACGTGTCACTGTAGGAAATGTGGTGCCCTTAATGTGAAGAGCCTTCAAAAAGGTTGTGGGAACTCCAGTATCTTTTAATTCCAGTTGCTCTGCAACTTTTGAGGCCTCTTGTATTTGCCAAAATAAGATAGTTATGCCTTCAATGTCATGTAAAGAACCCCATTTTCCACTATGCAATTAAATCTCCAACCGAAACTTGGGTTAAAAAAACAATCTTTCTGTCATCAGCAAAGAATTTGAAGGGGAACTCTCTATATTGCACTCTCCACCAAGCTTCTCCTCCCAAAATATGAGCAAAAATGATTATCATTGCAAACTAGTTTTGAATGGTTTCTTTTCATTTTTCACCACTATATGAATTTTGATCTGATATAAGCTTATATTTTTAAATTCTCTTAACCTAATTATGCAAATAGAAAAGAACTAGTACTGTAGGAGTATTATAAAAATTAAACAGTTGAATGATTCTATAATAAATTTCCAAGAATGAAACAATACTATTAAAAGAAGCTACTTACAGTCAGTGAAGTATAGATACGCTGCCTTATATTTGTTCTCCGACTTACTTGAAAAATCACGTAGAAAACAATCTACAGACTTAAAAAAGGGTTAATGTTAATACATGTTTCATTAAATACTAACCTAAATGTCCTAGCGTTTGAAATAACTAATATAATTTTACTTCTATAAAAATAAAACTTCACTGGCTCAGAGTTTATGTAACTTACAGACTGAGTTTTTAAGACGCCATGTTTTCTACCCCGTGACAGACAGTAAGGAAGCAAGTTTTGTTTTCTTGTAATACAACACTCACACTCTACATGTGATTCTTTTCTGAGTGTAAGCTGCGTCATTATTTCCCTAAAAGTCAGGCTTTGCTATGGCGGTAGACATGAAATATAATAAAAATTCAGAGAGAAATGTTCCACAATTCATCAGAAAAAACCCTCCATGTTCTTTAGAAAAATACATAGACAAATATACTTACCACAACTATCGAACATTCTAGATAGAAAATAAAGTGAATAATCATCCTAAGTTTCCATAGAAAGGTATAGGTTATTTTTAACCCTGTTTTATTTGGTGTTAAGTAACTCAAAATCCAGTAAGAACTTAATATTCTAAAAGCTTTGCTAAAATAATCTTCCAAATTTAAAAAAATGTGCTTATGTCTACCATACATTAATGGCTAGTTGCTATTTCTAGAAAGTTATCCAGAAAACAACTAGTCCAAAGGCTTAGAGGACCACAAGAACCCCAGCCTTCACTCTCTGAGACCAGGACAACTAGATGGTAGCCAGCTACCACTTCTGAGCATCCTACCTGGGGTCACAACAGAAGGTCCAGGAGAGAGTAGGGGAGGGAATACACAACCAAACCATTTTTATAAAGACCAGATGAATAGTGTGATAAAGATTAATGGAACCCCTTTGACACTTTTCAAGCTTGGAACTGAACTCACCCTGTAAATCAGCTTCCAGTCAAACAATAGACAGACCTCTACAGTGAAAAATATCAGGACAGAGTGATACACTTTAGAACAATCAATTATATGAGACCAAGAGGATAGCATTTCCCCCCAAACAAAGCTCAGAATATAGAAAGGGACAGAAAAGAAGGACAAATGGAAGTGGACTATAAGGAGAAAGTAATAGAGTACTATTATATTATGGAGACTACAATTGATGTCACAAAACCAAAACTCACAGACATCGATGCCAACTCATAGTGGTGCTATAGGGCAGGAAAGAACTGCCCCTGTGCATTTCCGAGACTGTAACTCTTTACGGGAAAGAGTAGAAAGTAGAAAGGTCTGTCTTTCTCTAGAGGATTGGCTGGTGGTTTTGAACTGCTGACCTTGCACTTAGCAGTCCAACAAGTAACTACGAGGACTCCCTAATGTCACAAAGACCTCTTTAAAGTACTGAAGAGCAAGGATGTCACTTTGAAGACTAAACTGAGCTTGATCCACGTCATAGTATTTTCAATTGCCTCAAATGCATATTGTCCCTTGAAGAAGGAAGACCCAAGAAGAATCGATGCATTTGAATTATGGTGACTTATGCATTTGAATTATGGTGAATTATGCATTTGAATTATGGTGAATTATGCATTTGAATTATGGTCAATTATGGCAAAGAATACTGAAATTGCCATTGACTGCCAAAAGAAGAAAGAAGTCTGTCTTGTAAAGGGTGCAGCCAGAATGCTCCTTTAGAAGAGAGGATGGCAAGACTTTGTCTTACTTTGGACATGTTACCAAGAGAGACTGGTCCCTGGAAAAGGACATCATACATGGTAAAGTGGAGCGGCAGTGAGAAACTGGAAAACCTTCAACAAGATTCATTCACACAGTGGCTACAACGACCGGCAAAACAATTGTGAGGCTGATGCAGGACTGGGCAGTGTTTCATTCTGCCTTACACAGAGATGCTATGAGTAGGAACTGACTCAAGAGCACCTAACAGCTAACAACATCATTTTTCACTGCCCTCTAGTTTAGAATAAGGACATCAGTTGTTTCTGACTCATACTGATCCTAGACTCAGAGAAACACTTCCTGGTCCTGAGTCATCCTCAAAATTGTTATTCTGTTTTGAGTCTTGTTTTAGCCCATTTGTCAATCCATCTTGTCAAAGGTCTTCCTCTTTCTCCTTGACCAAGTATGATGTCCTTCTCCAGGGACTGGTCTGTCCCTAACAAACATTCTTCTCCAACACTAAAATTTAAAGGCATCAATTCTTCTCCAGTCTTATTTTTCATTGTCCAACTTTCACATCCCTGTGAGGTGACTGAAAATAACATGGCTTGGTTTAGGTCAGGGACAAGATAATGCAACACTTTTGCTTTTTAACACTTCAAAGAGATATTTTGCAACAGATATGCCCAAAGTAGTAAGGTGTTTGATTTCCTGACTGCTGCTTCCATGAACATTGACTGTGGATCCAGGCAAAACGAAACCCTTGACAACTTCAGTCTTCTGGTGATCCTGCTTTTGGGTCCAGTCACTGAGAATATTTTTCTTCTTTATGCTGTGGAACAATCACACTGAAGGTTGTAGTCTTTGATCATCATGAATGGTTTGAGCCCTCTTGGCTTTCAGCAAGGTTGTATTTCTGCATATCGGAGGTTGCCAGTAAGCTTTCCTCCAATCCAGATGCCATGTTCCTTTTCACGCAGTCCAGCTTCTAGGATTATTATCTCAGCATATATATTAAACAAGCATGGTGGTAAGATATAACTCTGACACATATTTCTCCTTTTTGTAAACCACATAGAATCCTTTTTGTTCCATCTGAACAACTGCCTCTTGGTCGGTGTACAGGTTCTGCATGAGCATAGTTAAGTATTCTGGTATTCTCATTTATTTGCATGTTAACCATAATTGGTTATCATTCATACAATCCAATGCCTTTGCTTAGTCAATAAAACATCTTTTTCATAATGCTGATAATGGAGTTGAGTTTGTTTATTGTTAGAAAATTAATTTGATAATATATTTTCTTATGATAAATCTAATGATTTTATTTTGAAGGTTCTTGATAAGAAATGGCACATTTGTTTTAAAAAATACTGACATCAGTCTATACTCCCACAACAGTATATGGCAGCTGGTGCTCTATGGCTCAGTGATGGTTAGACTGTCTTATTATTTATATATGTATGTGTATATATGTATGTATCTATGCACACACATAAACAACAAATCATGTAGTAACAAAAATACATTTTTAAAATATCCCTGTCAATTTGCTAGATGAAAAATGGCATTTTAACTAGTACTTACTACAGTTATAAATTTTCTCTTATGGAACTATGTGACTGAAAATATATAAATGTCCTTAAATTTTAATCTTGCATCAATAGCCATTTGTGCTATTGTCTAAATAGTGAATATCTATTTTTTCCTCCTCCTGTTTGCTAAAGCTAGAAGCGACATGAAATCGGGATTGCCAGATTAACACTCTAGGTAGGAATAAGCCAAGGGAGTGTTAGAAAATACACTCTGAGACACAGAAGAATCTAAAGGAATCTGACACTATTAGGCTTCCAGAGGCTTGACTCAAAGACTGCGTTAAATCATATATTTAAGTTATAAAGTGCAGAAATGTCTTTTATAAAATTATATGTACACATGTACACACACACAGCCCTCTTCCTCATTTATCTACTATCCTGTTACCTTACATTTCACATTTACCATAGTAAGAAACCCCTATTATCTTAAAAACAAAGACAAACAAAAAGATCTACTATCTGGTGATTTTCTTCATGGACGACTCATGTTTGGCAGTAACAAATGCTGAAGCATGAGGCAAAAGCCACGCTGGCCGAGACTGGGTAGTTTTCTGTCAGGTTGGCTGGGTCATCATTCTCAGAGGTTTGGAAGTTATGCGATGATGTCATTTGGCAGTTACATAATGATATAATCACCTTCCATTTTGTGATCTGTTACAGTCACACTCTGTTTTCATACAATACTTCTCAAATAAGGACCTGGTCTTTGGAACCTAACCATGTCGATCCATGAGGAATTGGTGTACATATGTTGTTACTGTATGTTGAAAAGGCAATTCCAACTCATAGCAACCCTGAAAGTGAGAGAAGAATTGCTTCACAGGGTTTCCTGGCTGTAGTCATTATGGGAGCATATTGCATTTTCTTCCAAGGAGTGTCGAAGGACTTTAAACCACTGAACTTTTGGTTAATCAAGTGCTTAATCATTGTGCCATCAGGCTCCTCATATGTATACACACACAATCATATCTTAATATAATACACATTATAATTATATATGGAAGAGAGAAGATTGCATGCTCAATGGGAAGTGTCAAAATAATCTTGCAATGCAGAACAATTTGCCAAAATAAGCTAAATTTGTGATAACATTTTTCTAATAAAGGATATATACTGCTTTACTTTTCCCATTAGAATACCAAAGCAATGGTGGAAAATTTGGGGGCTATAACTCTAAAAGTTTTCAAATACTCACCTTTGATGTTGGAGTGATAAAATAAAGCGCTTTCATTTGTCTTACAGGTTCACGATTCTTATAAACATTCTCCACCACTAGCAACAAAAAGTCATATTTTTAACCATATGTTTACACTTACATTTAAAATAAGCCTTACTAAACTTTCCACTAAAAATTACATATATACAAGTTTAAAATTCTGATTTTGGAGATAAGAACCACTTTGAAAACATGTCTTCTCTATGGCTAAGAAGTTATCTTTTCATCATGAGAAAAAAAAAAAGATAAAGCAGTTAGTCTAAATCAGGTAGGCCTACCTGTGAATGCAATCAACAAGCCCCGAAGAAACCAAGAAAGTCCATTAAAAAATATGGTGTTTTTCTTAAAAACAACAACAACAAAAACCCCTACTGGTACGACATCGATTCCAACTCAGTGATGCTATGAAATGGCCCACAGGATTTCCAGGCTGTAGTGTTTGTCATAGCAGAATGCCACATCCTTCTCCCGTGGTGTGGCTGGTAGCGTTGAACCATGCACAGGCCTTTTGGTTAGCAGCAGAGAGTGCACATAACCTTTAAGCCACCAGGGATCCTCCCATACTGCTATAAACTCAGACCAAACTCACTGTTGTATACAATAGTAACAACAAGATACTGGGGAGGCTTTCTACTCCTGACAAAAACTATAGTCCTGGTAACTCACAGGGGCAGTTCTACCCAGTCCTGTAAGGTTCCTGCTAACTCACAGGGGCAGTTCTACCCAGTCCTATAGGGTTCCTGTAACTCACAGGGGCAGTTTTACCCAGTCCTGTAGGGTTGCTATGAGTTAGAATTAGCTCAAGGGCAGCAAGTTTGGATTTTTTTATATATTGTTTTATTAAGTGAAGCACTTTACATGAATCATCTAATCAACTCTCATAATAACCTTAGAAGTATTGTACAACCAAGGAAATGGCTTAAAGAATTTAACTTATCCAAAATTTAAAAACCACCTCAGCAGAGCAAATGACTTAATCTTGATTCAGTACTTAATTATATGTCTCAGATAAGAAAATAAAATGGACTTATAGAGGTTATTCTAAAGACTTACATATAGAAGAATGTCAAATCAAGAACTATGGTTAAAGGTATAAAACAATGACATCCTCTTCAGAAACATAATTAGTAACTCAAATCCCTTTCCTTTTTCCCCCAAGCCCTTTTATTGGCAGCTAATACAGATATGGTATTGTTCCAAAGTTGAATCCCATCAAGCAGTATTATATAACTGCTACTGCAGTCTCAAATTTCCTAATATTCCTACCTTCCAAAGCATAATAACGAGTTTCATGATGAGCGTCAGTAATACTTACCAGTTATGCCCTCTGCTAAAAGATCTGTCATCTTGCAACATGAGGCCAAAAGCTTCGTAGTAAATTCATCTAACAGCATTATCTTAAAACAAATACAGAACAGGAAATACGTAAGTATCTGACTGCCAAACCCACAGAAGACAAACTTTTACCCATTAAGCCTACTCACTTATAAACCTACAAAGTAAAATTTGGTAGGCCAAATAATCTCAAGCCATCGTTTAATTTGCATGACCTGGAGACTTTCTCAAGATATAAATATATCATGTTATCTTTCCATCTCATTATTTAAGGAAGCAAATAGAAATATTCCTAATTTGAACAAAGAACTTTTGAAACTCTTAAATACAATTTATGTTTAGCACAAAATCTCCTTAAAATTATAAAATGCCTCATGTAGAATAAGAATTTTTCCAGGTGCTGTTCTAGCCACTTTATATGAATTAATTCATATCTAAAACCTAACCCATGATGTAGGTATGAGAAGAGGTTAAAAAAGTCAACAGAAAAATGGAATTAAAAGATAATGGAATCTTCCCACAAACTTTTTGAAGCTCTTGAATTAGCAAGCCCATTTTACAGCAGAGGACCTGGGCAAGAGGGGTCCAGTAACTTGTTTGTGGGGCCAAAGGTGCTACGTGGTAAAGTCAGGATTTGAACTTAAAGAGTGGGCCCAATAAAATGATTAAAAAAAAAAAGAAGTGATCAGTGAAAAAGAGGACCTTCAACACCATGACTACAACCATGGGCTCAGCACAGCAACAATTGTGGGGATGACTAAAGACCAGCAGTGCTTTATTCTGTGGCATACAAGGTTTTCATGACTCTGATGAATGACTGGAAACAACAATAAGGAGGTTCCAGAGTCGCTATTTCAATGGGAAAATCCCATTCTATTTTTATAGGAGCTTTCTGAAGCCTCCCTGTGTAAGAGTAAAGTATGCAAATGCTACCTTCCATTCGCCTTCTTTCTTGCAGTCATCAAACACAGAAGTTCTTATTTCTGCAAAGAGAAATGTAAAAGGGAATTATACATAAATCTAATTGTTAGAACGAGGATAACTATTCAAAAGGTCAAAAAATTCTATCAGAAAATTTGCTAAACTATATAAAAGCACACATTTTTGCTAATGCACAAATAAAAATCAATTTCTCTTTACTTAAATACTTAAACTATATTGTACATTTACACTGTAAAATGCCTTTACACTTTGAGGTCTTTATAAGGATATTATAAAAAGGCTAATATATGTACGTATGTGAACATATCAGAAAAACATTTCTAAAAGTATTATCTGATTTGGTTTTCCCTAATCTACTTAAAACCCAAGTGTTATTGCTGCTAGGTGCCACTGAGTCAATTCTGATCCACAGCCACCTAGGCACAACAGAACCAAACAGACACCAGGCTCACAACTGTTCCTATGCGTGGGCCCACTGTTGACGGACCTCATCAAGGGCCTTCCTTTTTGCTGCTCCTCTACCTCAGTGAGCAGGACAAAAACAAAGGCAGAAAACCTGTAACACGACAGAAAATCCTGATCTACGCCATTGCTAAACTGCACCTGACAATGAAATCTAAAAGAAATTCTCATTCTGATTTATGTTAGGATCTCAACAATATGTATAATAGCATTATGATATGCACCATTCAGTCCTGATTCATAATCTGTAAATATTATGATGTTCCTTGCAATAATTTTCAGAAATAATCTAAACATAAAGCTTAACTATGAGCAAAAATGTCCCCAGGGAATACCAAAAATAGATTTGGGAGCAGGTCGTGGCACCCCATCAGACTCCAT